GCGGCGCCCCCGGTGCGCTCGGGGCCTCCAGGCTCCTGCAGTCTCGGTCCTGGACGGGCTCGCGGAAGGTCCCGCGTTTCAGTGCGTTGCTGCATCGGCGCACTGCGTTTCTGCCCCTTCCTTTCAAAATTGTCACGGCCTTTATACTCCTTTTTCCAAAGTGCAATTATTTCCCAGCTGCGTGGGGCAGATGGGTGTCCTGCGTTCGTGCCCCAATTGCATCTTTTCCCATCTTAATCCCGCGGGCGCTGAGGAAGAGCCAGCCTCGAAGGCCGAGAAAGGGAGCCTAAAAACGAAGGCTAACCAATGATTCAAGTTGCTGTGATTCACAAAACACTGAATTTTTTTATTTTTTTTGGGCGAAATCTACGCTTGCCAAGTGGACACTTGCCTGGCTTAAATAAGGACAGCATTATTTCCAATGTGTTCCTGACACAGGTTGATGCTCAGACACAAGAGCAATCCTTTCTAACCGTGACATCTTTATATGCGTGTTCCCTAATTATAAAAGTAATAGAGAAGCAAAAAAGAAAGCTAATCCTAGCATAGATAATCATTAATATTTTGGTGGTCGTCATTCAAGTCTTTTTTTATGCATTTTAACCAAATGATACATAATAAAAGACAGTTTTATAGCCTCCTGTTTTCACTTAGCAATATATTGTGAACATCTTCTCAAGTCAACAAATATTCAATAACATGGTTTTTAATAGTGAAGCCAAGACATTTTAACACTTCCATTTGGCCATGAGTTAGGGTAGCAAAGAAAGAAGCAATTTCTTCTGCTTTCACACCACAGAACTGGCTACAAGCTACCTACTTACCCAACTTGTAAGTAACTTAAAAAAAAAGTTTAAAAGAGAAAACCTAAAACACATTAGGTCTCCATAAATGGAAGTACAGTATGAGATACCAATATATTTCTTCTTAATAAAAGAATCAAGCTGCCAGTCCTTTCTCTACCTATTCTGTTAGCACATGGGTACCACCCACAGTCCAGGCTATTTATATTTGCATAATAACCTTTATCACATTGTTCAGAGAGTACAAGGGAGAACTTACTTTTATTTTTTTAAAAAAACAACACATACACACACAAAGAGAAGGAAGAAGGTTGAACCCAATCAATTTTGCTTGAATAATCCAAGCTCAGAGACTTAATAATTAACTAGACACTAAACACATTGTGCGGGTGTTATTCTAAATGTTCCGGCTGAAGTGCGAACATGCTTGTTAATGAAACCGGTCTTCAGCCAAAGAAAGGCGCGGCCCAGTAGCCCCACAGCGCTGCGTGGCAGGGCGCTCTTGGGAAAAGAGCCTGGAGGAGGTCGTCTTTGTGAAATTCTGCTTGGGAACCTGGAGAGCAGATGTATACCGCTGCGAACACAATTCGTTTGAAGCAATCACAGGAAGTTTTATGAAGGTGCTGGGAATTATTCTGACCTTCTGGAGCAGAAAGCGGACAGGAGAGGACATAAAGATAGGAGAGTAAGAAGAATCAGACTGACAGAAGTCAAGGTTGAGTCGCCAAGGCAAGCTCTCTTCGTGTAATCCTCTGCTTCTGGCCTGACAGCCAAAGGATCCCGATCCGTCAATTAATATTTATAACAACCAGCTCCCTTCTTACCTTGCTGTGTCTTACTCCCAAATAGCTATAGGTTCAAGGATAGAGAACAGGGCCAGAAGCAAGGTGAGTGCCACGGCAGGGCTCCACGTGCAGTAACATGAGAATATTTTACCACATCTCCTTTCAGCCCGGCTAGCAGGCCCAGCGCTGCAAGTGAATGACAGGGTTTGGTACCCTCTGCGGATAAAACTGCAGCAAATGCTTGTCCTCACTTTAAGTCTGGCATCTGACATGGGGAATAGCAACTGCAAAAGCTTATGTATAGAAAAAAGAAACTGTAATCAAGAATTGCTTTCTTCACAGAACATTTGCAGTGTGGACATCCTGAGTACTGTGAACACAGTGTTCTACTCCATCATCATATGAAGTAGAAAAATCATCACCTCCTTATTACAGATGAGGAGACTGAGGCTTAGAAGGCTTAGAGAACTTGGAAACGACCACATAACTAGCAAGTGACAATACCAAGCTTGTCTCAAACCAGGGTCAAAGGTTCTAACCACCAGATCTATGAAAGTCCATAAACCCAACCTCTCCCTCCTGTTATAACCAGGAAGCAGTAG